GCAACGGGAGAGGCCACAACAGTGAGAGGCCCGCGTACCGCAAAAAAAAAAAAGTGCAGGCAAAAGTATATATTTTTTTACCTTGTCCGTATTTGGTATGCAGAGAATGTGAGCAATCCCTAAAAAACCACACGGATGGCTGGGGAATACAGGATTCTTTAACTGCTGAAAAGGGGTTTCTGCCCAGCCTGTGCGCTTCAGTGCTTGTAAACGAGTTAATATAAAAGGCGCACTTTTTAAGCAAAGCTGAAATAGTGGCACTATTCCCACACATTGCAAACATGGAACCCAAGTGCCATGTGTTCACTGAGCAGTATTATCACAGTACCGTCACAACCAGAGCTAAAGATGATAGGTGAAGTGCGTTAAAAAAAAAATTCAGCCGGAGATAAACTTGGTTAATGATTGAACCTTCCCTGTTTGCCTCTCCAACTCTAGGTCAAGGTTTTAAATGGCATCTGTGATAAAACAATCCGATCTACCACGGATCCTGTTATGAGCCAGTGTGCATGTCTGGAAGAAGTTCACTTACCAAACATTAAACCTGGGGAAGGCTTGGTAAGAATTCTGACAACACATGTTTATTTTCAAATAACATCATCATTTATTAAAGTTGGTGTGTATGTGTGTGTGTGTTTTTAAATTCCTTATTGCTTTCACTAGAATTCTGAATAGTAGAATTCAGTTAGACTGTCTTCCATTATGTAGTTAGGAATTTTCCATCCTGAACTGTTGATGAGTTTTATGTCTTCAAAGTATAAAAATAAATAGTTTTAAAACTATATACTCATATCTCGAAGGAATTGTCTTAACAGTTTTATTTTTAGGTCTTAGCAATTTAAGGAGGTAGAAAACATTTCCACAAAGGAAAGGTGGCCTCTGGGTATGAAACAACATCTGCTTTGAGGTCTCTGTTACCACTTAGGCTGAGAAGAGACTGGCTGAAAGAAATGATTCTTAAGAAGAAGTTCAGAAATGCTTTAGAAGCCATGTATGAGCTCTGTAATAACAGGCCCTGAGAATACACACAGGTCGATTCCTAGATCAGCACCTAGGTACCTACATCTCCAAATACCTAGCATGCAGCCGATATGGTTAATCTGCTGAAATTTAAGTGAGGAAACTGTGAGGCCCATTGATGAGCTTAGAGGCTTTGAGTCAGAGAGTGTGGTTCAAATCCCAGCAGTCAAGTGACTTTACCTCTTTATGTGTCAATTTCCTCATCTGTCAAAAGTGAATAATAATAATGATAATAACCCTCACAGCGTTGTTGAATGTATTAAGTTAGATGATGCGTGCTGAGTGCGGATGCTGGACGAATAGTACGTGTGCAGTAATTGGTGGCTGCAGCTACTGTGGCTGTATTGATGGGGGGGAAGGGGAAGCGGGAGGGGGAGTGCCTAGTGTGTAGGTAGCTGTGGGAAGATATCAGGGCAGTCTCTGCTCTCAGGTAGGAAAACAAAAATCAACCAAATGTTGACAAGCCCACATTCCTGGTAAGGAGAAAGGTACATACCGAGACTGCTTGGCTTCAAAGTAAATGACGGCTTATAATGGAGTACACACAGAAGACTTCCAGGAGGTGGGTTTATTCACATATTGAAGCGGAGAACTGCCTCGCGTGGGCAGAAATGGAGTTGCCGTTTCAGAAGGTAAAGTTATACCAGCAAAGCTCTGGGGAGAGGAGTACTGTGTGGAGGGGGAAGCCAGTTACTCTACCGATGAATGTGATGGGAAAGGAGAGGACAGGCAGAACCGTGCAGGTGTTAGTATTGGATGAGGTGCTCGTTGCAGAGTGCGGTATGTTGCTGAGCAGGGCAAGTTCACGGTCAAAATGACTTCTGAGGAGAATCTATGTTATTATCAATACAGTATTGGTACCAGGGTGAGCAACTACTGTTTGCTCTGTTTACTTTTGCTCTTTCCCCATCTTATCAAAGTTTAATAACCCTTCTTTTTTATACATGCTGTGTCAAACTACAGAGATGTTTCCTCCACGCTAGGCATTCACCTCTGAATTTGACTGTCGGGCCTTTGAGGAAGGAGAGTATTAATCTATACGCCCCCCCTTAAAATGCAGGAGTGCCTGTTTCTAATTTATTTCCTATGTTGTGTTACTTAACAGTCTTTGCTCATACATCCTGGTCTGGTTGTTAGTGGCTTGAATAAGTTACCGTGCAGGGACTGCTGAGACCAAATTAACTGAATATATTGTCTCACTACACAGAGAAATGGTCGGGAGAGGACCGGCCTTGTTTGAACTGCCTCATTCATTCAACAGGTCTGAGAACATTCTTTCTGAGTCCCCAGAGTTAGACCAAAATTCTGTGCGCCTGGTACACAAATTATAATATCAAAGAGATCTTGTTTCTGATTTCTTTCACCAGTATTTCTGCCTTGGTTAGTTCCTCTTCCTGCTCTGTGGATCTTGCTTTGCAGTGTTTCAGGAGACTGAAAAATGAGTGGTGTTCTGAAGGGACTGCCTTTAATGTTTTATAAGTTTACGTCTCACTTGCGGCTCTATTTCTAAATGTTGGAGTAATGAGTTAATATGTCTGACTCACTCTAGGGCATGTACATCAAATCAACCTATGATGGATTGCACGTGATTACTGGAACCACAGAAAATGTAAGTGCTTATCCATTAAATGTAAAACCATTGTATGTTCCAACAGATTGGACAGAGTCCCTGTACTTTTCATTTAAATATGTGTGTGCTGTTCTATTGTATTATCTGTAGTGGGAGCAACTGTGCCTATTTTGTTTATGTCTGTGGCTAGCATGCAGCTTATTCAGCTGTTGTCAATGTATTATTTAAGTTGTCCTTTATTGCTCTCGTTCACACACCTTGCCCAGTTTTTACCGCCACCCTTGCGTTTATTATTATTATTTTTGCACCCTGAATATGTTAACCCATAAATACAAAAAACAATGATCTCTTTGTTGTTGAGAATCCCTCTTACAAGAGCTGGAATTGGTGACCATATGTGTAAAATATAGTTTTTTAAAAATGGAATTTATATATGTCACCAGAGTGACTATTTTGGGATTTTTGCATGACAAAGATTCTTTTTATAGAGCTGTATTTCATAATATTTGCATGATATTGAAATTTAGTTTTTCTCCCCCCCTAATCCTTTGAATAGAAAAAGCAGGGCTGCTTCTACTGAAAGGGACTTTGTACTCTGTTATCTTCCTTTTGAAAATTCTGCTACATGAAAGGTTTTTCTTTAGCCCCTCAAACATTTTGAATTTGTGAAAAGTAGAGCTAATTGAATACTTTCTTTATGCAACCTACAGTATGGCTAGCTTTTGAACGACACTGATATAAAGCTAGAAATGTCTGAAAAGCTTCCCTGCATCTGTGGAAAAGAAGCATGTGTCTATGGAATTAGATACTATTTAATCAATTAAGACAAGAGGAAGTAATTCAAGAAACAAGAGACTTAGCAACTACTTTTCTAATCTGGTGGAAATATGTATCGGAGTTTGAGCTTCAGCTGCTAGGTCTGTTGATAAAATAAAATAGCATGATCTTTGATGAGGGTTTGTGACACACACTTGATTTTTGTAATAAGAAAAAAGTGGCATCGCTTAAGGCAGTCAATGAGCTATAAATTAATTGTGCAGCTCTGGGAGAGGAATGAATAGAAGATGGTAGTGTCTTTAAGCATTCTTTGTTGAGCTCTACTGAGAATACACTGAGGCCACTGGGAATTTTTATACCGCATCACCTAATAGGCAATAATGGCACAGGACGTTCTCCTTATAGGCTGGGGATGATGCAAAAGAAAAAAAAAATCACAACAAATGCTTCTCCCTTATCCTTATCAGAGACTTTATATATTTTAGCTGAACCACAATGAGAACAGAGTCATGTACCACTCAGTACATTTTGCGGGGGCGGGGGCTGGACAGATTCAGAAGAATGGTGAATGTCGTTTCAGTTTTTAAGAGAGTTAAAGTTTTGTGTCTAGCAATTTGGTGATTGCATTAACAACCAGACCTGTGCAGTCCCAGACTCAATCGGGTCTTTGAATCAATTTCAATCTCGGAAGAACATGTAGAACACTATAATAGTATTAGCAGAAGGCGCACAGATTTCTTCCTTTCACTGTCCACCCCTCTCCCTCACCTCCCCCCTCTGCCCCCCGCCGCCACTTTTAAGGATGAGGTAACTAAACAAAACTGCCTTTGAATCAAATGAAATGTCAAATGATACATTCTGTAGAATCCCTACCAGATCATATAGGACTGGGTGAGAGATTCAGGGTTCGCCTGGATGTGGTTGATCCTACCGCTTCCGTACAGGATGGTAAACGAGTCATCCTAGAGAGAGGTGGTTTCCATCTTGTTAAAGATCAAAAAAGGGAAAACTTGTCTTTTTTCCATCCGGTAATCCACTTGAAAATGTCCCTCATTCTTTCAGTCAGTCACCTTGTGTTCATTGTGTGTCTGGAATATGCCAGATACTTTCTAATTCTTGTCGATGAAAGTGGGAAGTTAGGTAAGAGTCCACTTCTCGAGGGCTTGAGCTGGGTAGTTTACACTTAATGCTGGACATTTTACACTTAAATGACAGTAGAAAAATGCCAGCTCCAGGACAGCTTTCTGGCTATCACTTAAGGTCGCTCTGACTTAAGCGACCCTAAGTCAGAATGTTTTAATGCAAGTCTAGTGTTGGGGGGTGGTCGTGGACAGAATTCCCAAACTGCATTCCCTCTATCTTGGACTCCAGGCTGAAGCAATGCCAGCAGGTCATCTCAGGCCCCCTGTCCACTTTTTCTGGGTTTTTTTGGAGGTTACCTGAGCAGCCAGGATCATTCCAAGGTGAGACTAACAAGATCTAGTGATTATCTTCTTTTTTGATGTTGTTCAAGACCTTGGCAGACGTCTTGATAGGACCTCATCCGTACTCCTATCCCCCACCCCCAACATGAGTTGGGAAGTAGGTGAGCCTCTGAAGAATGGATGCACTCTTCTCCAGGTCATCACTCTTCTGCAGCAAACCAGAACAAGCATCATTTTTCAGTAGTCCGGCACATGGTGAAGATAGGCAAGAGCTACTGCCCCAGGGAGAATTTTGGTTATCAGGCTCTCTCTTTACCAGTGTCCTGCCAAGCACAACTCTTAATCACTTGGTAGGATATTTGAGAAATGAATGGGAGAGGATCCTTAGGAAGGGAAGTCAGTTCAGGACACCGGGGCTTGTTTTTTAGATTGCATATCTATAAACAGGGACTTCCTGGCCTCAGGGCCATCTTTTAGAAAGTGAAGCTACCTTAGAAGAATCTCCAGCCCAGGAAGATTAACTGGACTGGACTGATTACGATCAGACTTACTAAAGTTGATCTGTAACCATGGGTTAGGCATCTGACACCAGGGGCAAAAAGGAGCTTTGATACATTCATTTGTTTAAGAAGTGCTTCAGTAGAAAGAGATTTGAGACAAGCCATCTCCCTGTGGTACCCACGATGCTAGTCTCTCAGGTGAGGCACTGCTGGTTGTTATGGTAGCAGGTTAAATGCTTTCAAAAATAACTGTTATAGTTACCTATGCCTTACGTTGGCCCTAGGTAAATCAAAGAGACTGTTTCTACAGTTTAACACTACTTGCTCATTTCCTTTCTTTTTTTTCCTCTCTCTTTTTTTTTTTTTTTTTAACTTGCTCATTTCTTTGTTGAGCCTATCACAACAGCTGAGTGAGAAAATTCAGCAAGGGTGTCTTGAGTTTAGTTGCTGTCCCCATCACTGTGTTCAAAGATGCTATTTTTAAAGGATGGTTGTAAATTGAAGATTCAGTCAGCTATGTAAGTCACAAAATAAAACACTCTGACTTAGATAACATTTGATTATAATTTGAAATCAAAGTTTGATCCTTTCTTTCTCTTTTGATCATAGGAAATATCTTTTTTTACATAGTTCTGTTTTATTTTATCCCATGCATTTGTTGTTTTTGCAATTAAATAATAAACTTATACTTCTAGGAAGGATTAGACATTACTCTTATTCTAAAATACTTTTCAAATTTCATGTACAACTAAATGCCAAAATGTTTACGTCTGGAAAATGTATTAGTGAGAGAAAAAAATTTGAGATGAAATTATGGCACAGGTTCCTTTTAAGATGAAATAATCACTTCAACATATAATTATAATTTGGCAGGGGAAAAATTTTGAGGTACTACTTTAATTTTAAAAGCCACATAATAAGCATAAAATTATATTCTGCATCTTTCACTTACTGTGTGTCCATAACACTGGGCACATAGTAAGTTATTTAACACTGAATCTCAGTGTTCTCAGAACTCCGTAAAATAAACCTAATGATATCTTAGGCTTAGGTAAAGGTTGTTGGCAGAATTTTTTCTAACCATTTTTTAAAATCATCTGAAATACCTTAAACATAAAGAGTTTAGTTTGATTCAGTGAACCAGAAACTATGGGAAAGTATTTGACAAACAGGTTACATCTGTTTATCTGTCTGTACACACATATGTGGATGTATATATATTTGTATCAATATTTGCAAATTTGTAGCAAACTATTATTTGAGAGAAACAAAGCCTGGACTTTGTTTTGATACTGTGACAACACATGCACTTAGAATTCCACCTGAAAATGCAAAAAATTTAAATTTTCTCTAAAGAAATATTTTCTATTGTCACTATCTTTCTATGTTAATAGCATTATGATAACATGTAAAACAAGTTTAAGTAAAAGTAAGATTTAGTTTTAATAATTGCTTAAAAGGAAACGGTAGGACAGAGGTACACTGGTGATCTTTACACATGAAGCAGTTGGTCCACGTTAAGCAGTTGGTCGGCTTTTACAAGATTAATTTTGATAGGGATATAGGTGAGTCTCATTTTAGATGAACCAATGGCGCTGATCAGCCCATTATGTGGACAGTGCATCCCACTCTTCACGATAGGTTAGATGAACCTTGGCTGTTCCAACTGACAGATTATCTGTTATAACAAACTGCTAATGGAAGAGAGAACACCAGTTCCCAATGCCAAGTTCTACAGGCTGTGTACTTTGAGGGAACTCAAGTACACTGTGTAACGTTTCCTGAGAAGATTATATTTCCATTGCTCGTTTTCTGTAGAAAAAAGAAGGGAGAAGAAATAGAAGCAGAAAGAAGTAGGTTTAAAAAATATGACCGGTCTCTCTCTGTTTTTTTCTAACAGTCTCCTGCAGACAGATCTCAGAAGATTCACGCCGGTGATGAAGTGATTCAAGTCAATCAGCAAACTGTGGTGAGTCTGTTCATTGAGACTTCCGACTTCATATTCCCCTCTAGAACTGTTAAACCGTTTTGCATGCATTTAAAAAATTTTCAGTTTATACCAATTTTCCATAATTTTAAGCAGTGCTAGGATGAACAGATTTGTGTCTACCTATTTGCTCATAGCTGATTTCCTTGAGATAAATTCCTAGGGGTTTGAGTTTTCGTTATTCATGAGCAAGTACCCTCTCCTCATTTTCTTTCTTTGAAGGTGGGATGGCAGCTAAAAAATCTGGTGAGAAAGCTGAGAGAGAATCCTACAGGAGTTGTGTTACTGCTTAAGAAGCGGCCCACAAGTTCCTTCAACTTCACTCCCGCCCCCCTGAAAAACCTACGATGGAAGCCGCCTCTGGTCCAGGTACCGTCACTGGTTGAAATCTTTCCTCTGGCATCGGCGCAAGAACAATGTCCAATATCCGATTTGTCTCCAAAAAGAAAGACTACACTTTGATTGGTCTCAGGAGCTTGTGCATGGATAATTATCCTATAATCTTACTTATGTGAAAATAGCCGTGCTGGATTTGCACTGAACAGTATGGCAGCCACTAGCCACCAGTGTCTATTTCAACAATTAAAATGAAAGCTTCAGTTCCTCGGTCTCAGCGGCCACATTTCAGTGCTTGGTAGCCACTTGGTGGCGAGTGGCTGCCAGCACTACAGAAAGTTCCATCTGGTCCTTTTCCTCTCTCGTTTCAAACACGTGCTCACATAAAGGAATCCAGTTTGACCGCTGATCTTAGAGAGACCGCATGGGGTTGAGTCCTCAGCATGGTTTAAAAAGGCAGGGGTGTAGACTGTGAGAACAACCCACCCAGCGGGGAGCTGCATCACTCCGTTGTTTAGATTTGGCAGTCTTGGGTGATAATAAAAAGCACACTGGTCTTTAGTGAGTTTTATTATTTAAATTCTCTACAAACAGTGCACTCCTTACTGCCTACACCTGGCTGGACCATGCACCCTGAGCAACCTCTTCCTTATGTCATCGGTTCTTAGTGTTTAATTCCTAAATCATGAATGAAAAGCAATCACATTTTAGTGCCCTTTCATAAGATTGAGATTTGCCATTTATATGTAACTTTCTGTGATTTTATTGTACATCTTCAAATGGAAGGAACAGCAGTGGTCTCAAGCCATCAATTTGGATACTTCGTGATGCATACAGCACTGGAAATATGCCTATGTGTGTACCTTAGGGGTATGGAGGCACATAAAAATAAAGACCAGGATGTGGAGGGTGGAGCCAGGAAGGGGCACATAATTAAGTTCACTTTTTAGATAATAACGGAACATATCAATCACACCCCAGCTGCTTCTGTTTGCATCGCTCAGTATAAGGGGCACCATCTTTCAGTAGTTTTGGAATTCTCAGAGTGTGTTAAGTAACATCGAAGAGGTCTTCACTGATGGTTGATGGAGTGCTTGCCACACAGCAACTCTGTCAGCTCCTTGGTGCAGGGGCGTAAATGTTAGGTTCTGAAGAAGGGGCCGTGGGTGTGGACAGGTAGGTGAAGGAGCCTCCTCCTGAGGAGGTGGGAGCCCTTTGGAGCCTGGAAAACTAGGTGGGATTTGGGAGGCAGATGAGAGGCTGTTTGGTGGAGGAGAGGAACGCTGTTCTTCAGACACACGCCCACCAACTGAGGATGTGCTGCCATCAGGGAAGGGCGGTGCCCAGACAAGGTTTCCTAGAAGCAGAGTGCGCGACAGACATTCTTGTGAAAGCGATTTAGTGCCTGTGCTTCGGGTAAAACTTGTCCGGGAGGGAGGGAGGCAGAATAAGGAGGGGAAGCCAGCAGATGCTCTCTCAGGTAGAGTTCAGTCTTGGCCTATTACCCAGGTGTAACCACACAGCACGGGCACTGGTAGCTGTACTCAGGGGTGGCAGCTGTCCACTGAGGGCAGTTTTCCAGAGAAGGGGGCAGCCGTGAGCTTTTAGCAACAGACAGTCACAGCAGCCGGGTTCACTGACTGACCAAGGCCTCTGGGTAGACACCACAGCGCTCCTGTAAGAATAAGTAGACCAGACTCTTTGGGGCAGAGGGTGGGAGAGAAAGCTGGACCAGTGGACTGAGCTGGATGGGTGGGTATAGAGTCCCAGGCTAAGGAGTATGGACTTCATCTCACAGGTAATTTTTGTCAACAGGTTGACAGTTGATTTTTACACTAATATTTGCATCAGTTTGCTAGGGCCACTGTAACAAGGTACCAACGACTGGGTGACCGAAACAAAAGTTTATTCCTTCAAAAGTCTGGAGGCTAGAAGTCTCAAATCAAGGTTAGCTTCTTCCAAGGTCTCTCTCCTTGGCTTGCAGATGACCGTCTTCTCCCTGTCTTCATGTGGTCTTTCCTCTGTGTGTCTGTGTCCTGATCTCCTCTTCTTATAGGGACACCAGTCATACTGGATTAAGGCCCACCCATATGACCTTGTATTATTTTTTTTAATTTTTATTTATTTATTTATTTTTTGGGGGGGGGTGATGCGTGCTATGGGGCATGTGGGATCTTAGTTGCCTGACCCAGGGATCAAACCTGTGTCCCCTGCAGTGAAAGTGCAGAGTCTTAACCACTGGACCACCAGGGAATTCCCACATGATCTCATTTTATTTATTTATCTATTTATCTATCTATTTATTTATCTATTTATTTATTTATTTACCTTTTGCGGTACGCGGGCCTCTCACTGCTGTGGCCTCTCCTGTTGTGGAGCACAGGCTCTGGACGCGCAGGCTCAGCGGCCATGGCTCACGGGCCCAGCCGCTCCGCAGCATGTGGGATCTTCCCGGACCGGGGCACGAACCCGTGTCCCCTACATCGGCAGGCGGACTCTCAACCACTGCGCCACCAGGGAAGCCCCCTCATTTTAAATTAAACGTGTCTTTAAAAATCCTATCTCCAGAGTACAGTCACATTCTGAACTACTGGGGGTTTGGGGGACACAGTTTAGCCCATGATACTACCTAAACACAAGAAACACCAGTTGGGAGCTGTTACACGTGTAGGTGATGGGTAATGTGGTTCTGGGCGAGGCTGGGATGGGGCAGTTCTAGTGCAAGAGGCCATTTGGAAGAAGCATCAAGAGGACTCACAAAGCAGCACAGCATAGTGGACAGGAAGGGGCCCCGGAGTTGAACTCCTTGAGTTCAAATCCCACCTCTGCCACATCTTAGCTGTGGCACCTCAGATAAGTATTTAGTATTTCTGAATGTCACTCCTAATTACTCATGTTGACAGCAGAGGTTTTCGGGTAGCGGTGAGGAAGGTAGGCAAGGCAAGGAAGAAGCAGATGTGAAATGTGGCAGCGAACCTGGGTGGCAATACCAGTGACAAAAATTAGAATGTCAGGAAAGAGCCATCTGGGAGGCAGAGATGATAGGTCTTCTGGGCGTCACTGAGCTTGAAGTGACAGGAAAATTCAGGTGGATGTGTTCAGAAGGGAAGTGAAAATTATATCTAAGTATAGGCTAGAGTTAGTTCCTTGACCTATGGAAATTCACTTAAGAAGGGGCATGCTTCCTTTTTCTTTGGTTTTGTCTACCTTCCTGCCCGGTTCCACTAACTGTGCAATTTGCAGGGAGAGGTGAAGGTGAGGCATGAAACACCTAGCTCTGCTTCTGACCCAGGGAGGGAAAACTGTCAAAATGCAGAGCCCGTTTTACAGCTTAGCTATTAGGCATCTGGTGATGTGTCCAGGATATTTTCAGAACATGAACTCTGGTAGACCAGTACTCCGTACAGTTTCTCAGCCCCCGCCCTGGCTGTTGCCCTGTGTGTCATTCTTCAGGGGTCTGTATGCCTGGGTGCCCACCTCTGCTGGGAGGGAGCAGCATCTTTAGTTCTTATCAACATCATTCACGTTGTCACTGAAAAGCTGTTCATCGCTCTGTTTTTAGGCCACAATCCTGGTAAACAAGGGTTATTGATTTAGAAGTAACCACCAGTGTTGGAGTTTTTGGAAAATGCCTGTTCTATGGAAATGCTCCAATTTTCTTTTTCTATTTGTTGAGGGCCTGGGTCCCGGCCCCATGTTTTCAGACATTGTCCGAGATTGTCAGAATGAGATGTGGATCAGTTACATAGTTCGGAGAGTTGACAGACTGTGATGTATGCTCTGGGAGACGGTTTCCCTGTGCCTCGGCATCTCTCCCCAAAACGGGGCTGTCTCTCTGTGAGCACCGGCTACTCCCGTCCTCCCAACCCTTAGACTCCCATTCCCACTCTCACTTCCAGGAGATAGGGGGTCTTCCATCCATCACCACCTGGGCTAGATAGGGCGTAGGTGTCCTTTTACTACTCCCCGGGGTCTAGCACTGTCCTCACGGGCTGCCTCCCACTGGCCTTCACCCAACATCTTCGAGCCCTGACTCATTTTCTTGCTGTTCCTTTACCAACCAGAAAAGGCCAATCATTGCTGTTAGATTGTAGAAGAGATAGGATTGAAGGTCTCACACAAGATTTTAAAATATTTTTTTAAAGCTGTGTGGATTTTAAATTTAAAAAATTAACTTGTGTGTATAATACTAAGTTAGACAGCATAAGGTTGGGTACTTACTATGCGACGAGCCCTGTGCTAAGCCCGTTACATGTATTACATTACCTAATTCTCACAGCTACCCTGTGTTGCTACTGTCTTTGTCCCTGTTTATTCCCATTCTATAGAAGAGGCACAGAGAAGTTGAGTGATTTGCCTGGAAGCTACACACCTAGTCAGAGGTATAACCAAGATTGTACCCAGGCAGTCCGAACTCCAAGCCCATACTCCTAGTGAGTGGTAGCATTGTTAGTAATTAGTGTGAATTAACTTATTCTGTCCTCACTGCAGCCCTACGTGCGAGGCACTGTCAGTATGGCTGTTTTTCAGAGGAGGAAACTAAGGCTTGCGAGTTTAAGTGATTTGCTCAGAGCTGGAATTCTAACCTGCCTGACACCTGGCTCCTGGGCCTCTGCCTTTCTTTCACTGTGCACCTAGGCTTTCAGAACTCTTGGTAAATGGTTTATATATACAATGGAATACCACTCAGCCATAAAAAAGAATGAAATAATGCCATTTGCAGCAACATGGAAGTACGTAGAGATTATCATACTAAGTGAAGTAAGTCAGACAGAGACAAATACCATATGGTACCACTCATTCGTGGAATCTAAAAAATGATACAAATGAACTTATTTACAAAACAGAAACAATCTCACAGACAGAAAACAAACTTATGATTACCAAAGTGGGGAGGGAGGGAGGGATAAATTAGGAGTTTGGGATTAACAGATACACACTACTATATATAAAATAAAAAGGTCCTATTGTATAGCACAGGGAACTATATTCAATACCTTATAATAACCTTTAATAGAAAAGCATCTGAAAAAGAATATGTATACACACACACACACACACACACACAACTGTATCACTTTGCTGTACACCTGAAACTAACACAACATTGTAAATCAACCATACTTTAAAAAAAACAAAACAAAAAAACTCGGTACATTTTGAGTGTCTCAAAGCAGAATACACGTTGGATGTTTCCAGTAGCTGCAGACACACAAATGACCTGGGCCCCTGTTTACCCACGGGCTGGTGTTGGTTTTGGGGAGAACGATCTCCGAGGTAACGTTCATGCTTTTACACTTACTCCCTTTCAGACCTCGCCTCCGCCCACAACCACTCAGTCCCCGGACAGCACGATGGATGCCTCACTGAAGAAGGAGAAGCCAGCCATCCTGGATCTTTATATCCCTCCTCCACCGACCGTTCCCTACTCCCCCCGGTATGTCGGTGCCCATTTCTGTGATGTGCACGTCTCCTTGCGTGGAGGTGCTAGTGGTGGTGTGAAGACCACAAGTATCTCGAGAGGAGACGCTGCTGACACTCCAGTGTGTTGGGGATGAGTCTTGAATCCACCGTCAAAAAGTATCGCCCTGGGCGTGGGCGTTGGGGAATGGGTGAAGGGGGTCGAAAAGGACAGACTTCCAGTTACAGGCGAAGTCCTGGGGGTGTAACGTACAGCGTGGTGACTGTTGTTAACAATGTTGTGTATCTTTCAAAGTTGCGGAGGGAGTAGATCTTAAAAGTGCTCGTCACAGGAAAGCAAGAATTGGTAACCACATGTGATGATTGTTTTGCCGTACATACGTAAATCATGAAATGAATACAGTGTTATATGTCGATTATATCTCAATGAAACCAGGGGTAGGGGAAGTGTGATCCTTTAGGGGGAAGTGTAGGAACAGATCTAGTTTTATGGGCCTTGAAGCCAGCCAGTATGATGGGGAGGGGGCTGATTAAAGCATGTGCTCTCGGGGACTGCATTGTTTTAATTCTTCACTGGGCATCGAAGTTTCATTAACTACACGGTAAATTCATCTCTGGGGCGGAAGATAATAAATATTTCTGTGAGATTGATTAAAGTTACAGTTTTATTTTGCTGAGAGGGATGTGTTCTTCGTAGGACTTAAAAAATGTGAAAATAGGTGTGGATGGGCTGTATTTGCATGGCCATGTGTGTTTATGTGTGTGTGTCTATTATAAATTCTTCAGGATCATTACTTTCTTAATGGCTATCTTAAATGTTTATGGTAAAATGAGGACGGTTATGCTAGATGTTATATAGGGGATGATTAAGGTATGAAAATATAGGCTTATTTATGTCATCTTCCATATTTACATATGCTGGTAAAAGTAGAGAATCTGGCTCATTTATGAAACATACATTTACTGAGAGTTGGGCCTGATTTACCATCTTATGCAAAACAGATGTAGTTCTTGCCCCCAGAGAACTGCCAATATCGTAGTCAACTGTTCAAGACTAAATTGAGAAATACTTAATCGTGCTGTGATATTTCATAAGACACAGTTTGGACTGAGCTTACAGTAATTTTTCACTTCAGGGTGGAGTTTTTCATTTGATTTTGTTTTAAGCTGTGCTCTTTGCTTCTGCTGTGTTTCTTTCCTGGGCACAAAGAAAAATTAATGTCATTTTCCTCTTCCTCGAGTCTTGGTTTGCCCAGAAGTTATTATAGCATGTAGAGCAGTGGCTGCAGTGATCAGGGGCTTTCTGGTTGGTAGACCAGGCTCTTCCCTGTATTCACAGACCAGAGTCCTGTGGTCACGAGATCTAAATTGTGTTTAAAATTACAAGGAGTTGTTGCTTTTGCACATAGAGAGCAGAGGGTTTCACTGATAGAACAAACCAGTGTGTGGACTGTTCTATCAGAAACTGTAGGCTGTAGGGAGGATGGCCCCGACTCCCCTAATCCTGAATATTCTTGTCTGGGTCTCAGTGAGGGGTCACAGGAGCTGTGGTAAGAAGGGTATGTACGTAGTAAAGGTGAAAGGGACCTGGCTCTTCGATTCTATTGGGGGAAACACGTGGGCACGCGCACACCATTAATGAAGGATATTTTATTTTATTTTTAAAAAATTTATTATTTACTTATTTATTTTTGGCTGTGTCGGGTCTTAGTGGATCTTGTGGCACGCGGGATCTTCGTTGAAGCATGCGGGATCTTTCGTTGCAACGCGGGCTTCTCTCTAGTTGTGGCGTGCGGGTTTTCTCTCACTAGTTGTGGCGCACAGGCTCCAGAGCATGTGGGCTCTGTAGTTTGCAGCACGCAGCCTCTCTAGTTGAGGCGCGCGAGCTCAGTCGTTGCGGCGCAAGGGCTTAGTTGCTCCGTGGCATGTGAGATCTTAGTTCCCTGACCAGGGGTCGAACCCGCATCCCCTGCATTGGAAGGTGGGTTCTTTACCACTGGACCGCCAGGGAAGTCACTGAAGCATATTTTATTAGGAATGAAATGTGCAAATGGTCACAGAGAACAAGTGGTGAGTTGCGAAAGCTTTGTGAATGGGGAAGTTATATGCCAGGTTTAAAAGTATAGAAGGAGATAGATTCGTGGTGGGGAAAGGGTATGCAGGCAGCAGGCTCACTGGGAACACCAGTAGGCAAGGCTGATCCTTAGACTGTTTTTGAACTCAGTGGATTCTGGGTTTATCTAGTAGTTTTGCAATGAGCCCCTAATGGAATTTACTCAGTGCCAAAAATTTAACCAGCTGGTAATCTGGACTCAACTAAAATTAATTTTAAGTTTTATTATAAGCTGACATTTAGAAAGAACGAAGTTGCAAGCAGCGGTCCAATTTTTGCTGGTTTCTGTACTTTGTTTAGGAAATAGACACTTTCCATTGGCCGCTCTAAAGGCCCCTTTGTAATCTTTGACACCATTTCCAAACCTGACAACTGCCATCGCACATCAAGCGTCTTCTCTGCTGGATCTTGGCAAAGATACCACTCTTGGCATGAGAAAAAAGGTTCAGTAGATCATACCTTCACTTGTGGTGTCTGTAGTAAGGAGGAGATTCAACTCTAGGACAGATGTACGGGAAAACCAGAGCTAGCTCTTCAAGATATATGTGTATCCCTTAAACAGATATGAAAAAAAATCTCATTTTCTCTTATTTAGTAGGATCATGGTATTTACTCTTATTTAATAGGATCTCTGTGTATTTGAGAAGCAACTGTGATTGAAAAAGTGTTGCTTTTTCCTCCAGAGGGAAAGGAGGATTTGTTTTCTTCCATGTGCTAGAAGCAGAATGCATCCTATAATTCTTTAGTGTGAGAGGATCTTCGTAAGCAACTTAACTATTGCCCTCTATCTTGCAGGGAAGAGAATGGGAGTTCCGTTTATGGATTCAGTAAATGTAAACAGCCACAGCCTGGCCCTAAGGGCTCTGAGTCCCCCAATTCCTTCCTGGACCAGGAAAGCCGGAGACGGAGATTTACCATCGCTGATTCCGATCAGTTGCCTGGGTATTCCGTGGAAACCAATATTCTGCCCACGAAAATGAGAGAGAAAACACCATCCTATGGTACGTTGCTCAGTGTTTGTTTTGTTTCTCTTCCCCTCCCCCTTCCTTATTTGGAACTGTTGGATGAATTTGGCAGACTTGAAGGGTAATCCAAGGAAAACATAAACCTCAATGAAATTCTAAGTATGAGACCTTTGTTCATCTTTCTAAAGCTAAGGCTTGTTGAGTCATTACACTGCCTGGCATCCAAGCCCAGCGGGGTGAGATCATGTTACAGTTTCAACTTTCAGTGCCTGCATTTTAACTTGGAGCTGCTTTGCTCCGTGGACCCACAGACGCAGGTTCAGCATGCCTCTGCCCTAATGGTTTGCTGTGGAAATACAGTGCTTTAAAATACTTTTCTTATTTTTAAACTGTGTTATTTTGCTTATGCTGAAGTGAGTGTGATGTCAGGGTGGGGGAGGGTCTAGTTCTAAATAAAGGGAAGGATTCTCTAAAGTACAAAAACTCTGTCAGCTTTTCCTTTTCCTTCCCCTCCCTCTGAAGGCAAGCCCCGGCCTTTGTCCATGCCTGCGGATGCGAGCTGGATGGGGATTGTGGACCCTTTTGCTAGACCTCGAAGTCATGGGAGGAAAAGTAAGTTTAATTTAAGCAAACTGAAAAACACCAAACCTGGAGTCCAAAGCCCAGACCCTCGTTTCAGCCCTTTTGTGCTCTAATGACCATAAAGTCATCTTCTCATCTGCAAAATCTGGGGTTGCTGAAGGCCTCTAAGGTCCTATCTGTGTGTAGAATGGCAGAAATATATATTCCTAGGTAGTGATTGTAAATCTCCTAAACAGTATTGTGTGCTTTAAAAAGGCTGTAGACACTGATGGTCCAATTTCTAAACACATAGAAATACACTATTCGTTAAACAATCTCATCGTCAATTTTATGACTATTATTATTGGAACCTGTTTGATTTTTGACCAACAGACATGGGTGTTTTTCTCCCCCAATCCTTCTTGAGTTAGAGAGTAACTACTATTGGAAAAGAAACTTGTGTTTAATTTACCCTGTAATCAAAGTTACAGGTGATAGCACTGGTCTTTTGAGGAAAATGTTTATAGTCTTATTTTTGGCCAGATTACATTCGATTGTCAGGACATCGTAACATTGCTTTTGTGGCACTGAAACAAAGAGCTGGTGAAAAGTTAGAGAACAGTAGGCCTTAGATTGTAAAAGGAAGAAGAGAAAAGTTCTGGAGGCCTAACTTCCAAAGTGATCAACCCCTGACTTCTCCCTGCGACTTGGTAAAGTTTGTCACCTAAGTACCCAAATCACCTGGATTACACTAAATTGGAAAAGGGAGAAGTTGCCTTCTAAGGTCCGAGATACCCTTAGTTGACACGAAAATCTGTGGAGCAGACAGCAGGGGGCAGGGCAGTTCTTTGTTTAGATTGAGAAATGTCCACATCTTCTTTGCCATTCTTTTTAGCATTTGAAGTCCCCGATTTAGACTTTTATTTCGTTTAAGGTTGAGATATGGGGTGTAGGGGTGGGGGGTGTGAGGTCAGGAAAATGGAAAGATACTTGGCCTCCATCCCACCTTCCACATTTTTTCTGGTGTTATCATTTTAAAAAGAAAGGTACCTGCATAATGGGCAATTAAAAAAAATAACAGCTTTTTTTGAGAGACAACTCGCATACCATAAAGTTCACCCTGTTAAAATGTACGATTCAGTGGTGTTTAGTATATTCATAGAGTTGTGCTAATTCCAGAATATTCTATCACTTCAACAAAAAACGCCTGTAAGCAGTCATTCCTCATTCCCTCCGCCTTCAGCTCCTGGCAACCAAAAATCTACTCTTTTTTTTTTTTTTTAACTTTCATAGTCATCTTTTTTTTTTTTTTAAATAAATGTATTTATTTTTGGCTGCGTTGGGTCTTCGTTGCAGTGCGCGGGCTTCTCATTTTGGTGGCTTCTCTTGTCGTGGAGCGCGGGCTCTAGGCACGTGGGCTTCAGGAGTTGTGGCACGTGGGCTCAGTAGTTGTGGCTCGCGGGCTCTAGAGCGCAGGCTCAGTCGTTGTGGCGCACAGGCTTAGTTGCTCTGCGGCATGTGGGATGTGGGATCTTCCTGGACCAGGGCTCAAACCCACGTCCCCTGCATTGGCAGGTGGATTCTTAACCACTGAGCCACCAGGGAAGCCCTGAAAATCTACTTTCTGTCTCTGGATTTACTTTTTCAAGGCATTTCATATAAATAGACTCCTACAAAATGTGGCTTTTTGACAGTGGGCACTTTTTAACGTAACTTTCCCCCTTTGATTACAGAAACAAAACAAATTGTTGGAAAACCTCTAGAAGGTACGAGAAAACTAATCTGTAATCTGCTTCCCCAACCTAGAAATAATCACTCTGAATGTTTTGTGTATCTTCTAGTCATTCCTATATTTACGTATTATACGCTTAGAAAAATGTGCAAAATGGAATAGATATTCAGTAATACTATGAAAGGGGAACGTTAACAGGTGTATTTTTGGTAATAGCTGCATTAGTAATCCATCTTATGGCAATAGCACCTCTTCATTCAGTCTGCTATGGTTGAGCATTTAGGTTATCTGTGTTTCCCCCCCCCAATTGTTAATATTGCTTCAATAAGCATCTTGTACGTAGTTCTTCATCCGTTTTTAAAAGTGGAATTTCTGAGTCAAAAGAATGCTACATGTTGCCAGGGTGCCCTGCATTTTATGTTTCTATTCAGTTTCTTACCCCCCTGCCCCCATCCCAGGGGGTCTACCGGCTTTTAGGGTGGGATCATTCTTCCTTCTCCAGAAATGTCCCAAGCCTTACAGAGCATTAAAATCTTTGAACCCCATCCATTAAAGGTGAAGAGTGCCTGCCCTGCATTCAGAGTGATAACCAAAGGCATCCCACCTCCTAAATGCTCCTTAGGGATGCTCGGGAATAAGAACCACCGTTCCAGGGGCACGTGCTCTGGGCTGCAGGCATTGAGCAGGGACAGATGTGGAAGGACTGATAGAATTATAAGATTTTCTCTTTGGTTTTTTGATTTCAAGTGAAATCATGAAAATTCTACACTGATTAAGAAGTGCGGGAAAAAAAAAAAAAGGGCTTCTCTGGTGGCGCAGTGGTTGAGAGTCTGCCTGCCGATGCAGGGGACACGGGTTCGTGCCCCGGTCTGGGAAGATCCCACATGCCAAAGAGCGGCTGGGCCCGTGAGCCATGGCCGCTGAGCCTGTGTGTCCGGAGCCTGTGCTCCACAACGGGAGAGGCCACAGCAGTGAGAGGCCCGCGTACCACAAAAAAAAAAAAAAAAAGAAAGAAAAAAGTGCGGGCTCTCTGATTCTGCTCTGCCCCTGTGTTACCTCTCAGATGGAAAAGCAGCCTGAAGTGTGCACCTACCTCTTCCGTTTCTGCTTTCTCAGCACCCAGTGGTGTGAGCCTGGCCTCCTGGGGGGCCTGGTAGCCCATCCCTGGGAGGAGGGCAGGGTGTGCCGCCACCTTCAGAGGCAGTGCCATGCAGAGGATGGGTATTTTAACGGACTACTTGTGGGCTTTGTCTGAAAACAGGTGAGGACGGCCTTTGCCGGTATTTCAGTAATGAGCGGATCTCTCCGATCATCGAAGAAAGGTCATCCCCCCCATACCGTTTCTCAAGGCCCACGACCGAGAGGCAGCTGGTCCGAGGTGCAGACTACATCCGAGGCAGCAGGTGCTACATCAGTTCAGATCTCCACAGCAGCGCCACGATTCCATTCTCGGAGGAAGGGACCAAAAAGAGAGCCAGCTCCTCGGCGGCCAAGTCCTCTTCTCCAGAGCCGTCCCTGCTGGTCAGCTGGTTTACTCGCCTGAAACTGTTGACTCACTGAGCCCTGCGTTCCCGGGACCCTCCCTGTCTCCTGCTACCAAGTGCCTTGTGTCCTCAATCAGCAACTTGTTCTGATTTTCATCCACAGTATTATGCAGCGACCTTATGCGATTTCGTGGCTTTTCTTTTTTCTTTTTCTTTTTTTTTAAGTTGTATACTGCACTTGGAATTTTGAAATCATTGGATGGGAACAAATCCAGAGAATCTTAGATGCTGGCTTATGGAGGCCAAAGGAGAGAAATGGGGAGAGTCTGCTATTTTTTTGCTTCCTTGAGAGTCAGAACACGGAGACACACTCCGTAAACCAGAGCCTTGGCCAGGAATGTTATCGTCATTATGAGGATCTGGGCCATTGTTCTTTTTAGGGGGGGTGGGACTACAGTTGGTGGCCAGTGTCACACAGATGTGTTGGTTTTTGGTCCAGCCTCTTCACCTGAAAAAGCCAGTGGAGAAAACAGTTTCGTTTTGATTTTTCAAGCTACATACCACATGTGCAAGTGTAGCAGCTTTGACTTTGAAATACCACGTGGGAAGCATGTGATGCTCTTTCAGAGCAGAGGTTTGAGTGTAGGCCAGTTACACTGAGTTAATGCCCTTTTCAGCAGTCTCAGCGTAAGTCAGTTAATACAGAAACACGTGAAAATGTTTAGATAGGGCTTACTACACACAAAGAAGTTTATGGTTATTTGTGAAGGGTGTTGTATATTATTGTCTTTAAGGGAAAAGAAGCTATAAGATTTGCTGACAGCCAAAGTATCATTGAGAAAAATGAAGCAACCATACTTAGGTTTATGAGAGAGACATCAGTTTGCATTTTGACCTGTTCAATGACTATCTTCTAGAAAAGAATGGACAGTTCTTCAAAATTGTACACATTTTGCTAATTAGAAATCTCTTGGAAAATCTCACGGTCACTCATTTTCAACTAGCATCAGGTATTTTGGAAAAGTGTGTCTGGATATTAACTCTTGTTTAAACTGAATGTATGATATTTTGCTAGAATGGAAAAGTACTATCTTGTTAATTTAAGTGTTTTAAATATAGTTGTATATTTTTCTTACTCTTAGTCACATGTAATTGATATATTTCTGTCTTGTGTCCTACATGAAGCTAACGAAAAAAGTGTTCAAAATGTTTTCAGGTTTACCAGTGACCACCTTGGCTGTTGCCACTGTGGGCACTATTGTTAAAAAAACAAAATAAACCCTCCCAACCATTTTAGGATTTTATGGATTAGAACTGGGGGGCGTTGAGGGAGCATGTGTAAAGTAAAATTACATTTGGAGAATTTTCTGAGCTATATCCCTGGGCAAAGCTGGTATCTCCTATTCAAAAATATCTTCCCCTCACCCCTTGAAATGTCTACTTTGCTGAACTGCCTGAAATTGGAGATTGCTTGGAGTTAACATCTTCCTTTTAAAATGCCTCTGGTGGGACTTCCCTGGCGGTCCAGTGGTTAAGACTCCATGCTTCCAATGTAGGGGGTGCAGGTTCAATCCCTGGTCGGGGAACAAAGATCCCACGTGCTGCGTGTTGCGGCCAAAATATTAAAAAAAAAAAAAAGCCTCTGGTGGGGTTAAGGGAGCTGGCAACCACTCACATATTAGTGTGAATGAATCCAGTCAGGCTGTTTTCCTGTCAACCAACCCCCAAGGGAACTGCAGTGAAGATATAGTTGTTTCATGGGGAATGAAAAGGGGTTTGGCCAGTGGAGGAGAGAAGAGGCTTGGAATGCGTGATTCATTGGGTGCTTGACAATACAGTATAAGGGCAGAGCAGGGGCGGGGAAGTCTGGTAACAGGGCACTGATGACTAGAAGGGACTATGGAAAAGCGGGGAGAGCCAGCCCTCGCCCTTTGACTGTTAGCGTGGCCCAGAAAATGGGGTGGCAACTCTTCCTCTCACTCTTCCTCTCACTCTCCAGATCACTCTCAGATCCCCTGAGTAATGAGTTTAGTGGTTTTGGAGGTCTTAGCTGGAGGTCAGCCCCTTTTCTGTGGAGTAAATGTCCTTTGTGATCAAATGACCATCCTCAGATGAATTTTCAGTGCCCAACTCAAGTACAGTAACTGTGCCCAATCAGTGTTTCTCAGACTGTTCCCTGAAGTCCTAAGGGGAGGCCACAGAAGTTTCTGGGCTCTCTACCTTCAATCAGCCTCCACCGCTTCATTTTTATTTTTGTTTGGGATTTTCTCCTGAAATGTGTTTGAGAAATAGATTGCTGCTTAAAGAAGTTTCTATGTATCGTTACTGTTGACATATATAATTAACAGCTTAATACTAATTTCTTAGAAATTAATGGAAACTGCTTGCCTCAGTATTAATCCAGGTTTAATGGTAGACATGTGTGAACATATGAAGATGTAAATGACACTTCTTGACATGATCCTTTAAAACAGTGATTTTTGATTACTACCAGACCCAACTCAACACTAACCCTTTTGTATAGTAAATATTTTATAATATCACTACAGTCATCAAATGAAATTCATGGATGATAAAACCTTCTTTCATACCTAAGAGCATCATCCCTATTTGCTGTTCCAAAATGAAGTAGGTACTATAACTGACCTCTGTACATCCCCGTCAATATAATGTCCTAACTGAATATAAACAAATATACATATATAAATATTTTGTAATGAAATCATTATTTTAATATGTAAATGCTCTAGCATGATTACATTACAAGATGTATGAAATCATGTAACAAAGCACACACTTGTATCTGTACATGAAATCACCAGGCCTGTGGCAGCTACACAGGCCTGCTGTGCTGGCAACCCAACAGCAGAAATGGGATTGATGTCAGCAATGCAATTTTCTAAAATGGGGCCAATTCTTTTTTTTTTAATGGAACGAACAATTCTTTAAATTCTATAGCGCTTTACAATTTTTAAAAGTTTCACACACGTGATTTCATATAATCCCATAATAATCCTTTTTTTCCCCTACCCCTATCCTGCCCCTTCTCCTTTCCCTCTCCCCACTGATAACTACTAGTTTCTTCTCTATATCTGTGAGTCTGCTTCTTTTTTGCTTTATTCACTGGTTGTATTTTTTTAGATTCAACATATACATGATATCATACAGTATTTGTCTTTCTCTGTCTGACTTATTTCACTTAGCATAAAGCCCTCCAGGTCCATCCATGTGGCCACAAATAACAAAATGTCATTCTTTCTTATGGCTGAATAGTATTCCATATATATATATATATATATATATGTATTGCACATCTTCTTTGTCCATTCATCTGTTGATGGACGCCTAGGTTGCTTCTATACCTTGACAATTGTAAATAATGCTATGAACGTTGGGGTGCTTGTATCTTTTTCAATTAGTGTTTATGGTTTTCTTGGATGTATACACAGGAGTGGAATTGCTGGGCCATATGGTAGCTCTAATTCTTAGTTTTTTGAGAAACCTCCATACTGTTTTCCACAGTGGCTGCACCAATTTAGATTCCCACCACCATTGTACGAGAGTTCCCTTTTCTTAACATGTGGCCAATTCTTGATAAGGTCCTAGACAAAACAGAATTCTGTAACAGTTACATCCATATAGTGTTTACTGGATGCCTGGCATTGTTCTAAATACTTACCTGACAACTTTATGAGGCGGGTGCCACCGTGATTCCCATTTTACATATGAGGGCACAGGGCTGGTAGGGCAAAGCTGGGATTAAAATCAAAGCAGTCTAGCTCTGGCAACCTTGTTCATCATCACTTTGCTGTACACTTTCCCTCAGTTTATAGGATAATTGCATTCCTGAAAAATCCAATGCATATTAAAACTGGGCTAGAGGTTCCCTGTATGTTTATATATAAAACAAAATTAGATTCTAATTTTCAACTAAACTCAGATAGTTCTAGACCGGCTTTGCATCTACATGAATATTTGCTCGGGCAACTGATAGCTGTGCTGATGGGGGACAGTTTCTTGCTGGGAGGGGTCTAACCTGTAGAACTTGTGTAGCATCTGTGTTCCATCTGTTGAATGTAGATAGTGCCCGTCCTATCATTAGCACTTCAAAAGCCCTTACAGTTCCAAAACCACATCTAAGGGGCAGTACCATCCCTTTGAGAACAAGTGATTTAAAAGAAATGCTGTTTCATCTTTGAGTAGAGTTCCAGTCTTCACGTTATATATTTGTCAATTTTCTATCTTTACTTCTGTCTCCTCAGTTCTCTCCCCACCACACCGGAAGTTTTAGAATCTGTTTTGTGAGGGTTGTTTTCCTTTTTTGTTTTTCCACCTGAAAGTCAAGCAGTTGTTTGTTGCCTCCTCTGGCCCAAAGACCATCAGTATTCCCAAGTTTCAGTTTATTAGCTCTCAGAAAACTCTAAGACGTATTTACTCTTCACTTTCCATCCCCCAAAGAGCTGGTGTAAGTAAATGTCTTTGACACAAGTATGTTGCTTTTTTGCCACCAGAGGCATAAATGGGATGGCCATGCAGGTCTAATTTGGATGTTTCCACCTATTGAATCTGTGGTTAGTCCTTACAGAGAAGTGGGTCACATTTTGCTCCCACTCTTTTTTTTTTTTTTTTTAACTTTTTGTCCTTTATGTACTAATTTTTTTTTTTAACATCTTTCTTGGAGTATAATTGCTTTACAATGGTGTGTTAGTTTCTGCTGTATAACAGAGTGAATCAGCTATACATATACATATATCCCCATATCCCCTCCCTCTTGCATCTCCCTCTCACCCTCCCTATCCCACCCCTCTAGGTGGTCACAAAGCACAGAGCTGATCTCCCTGTGCTATGTGGCTGCTTTATGTACCAGTTTATCTCTTTCAAGGTAGAATGGATTCATCAAATCTGTCTTAAAAGGTTAAATTATTTGATTCCTTTACATTACAAGGGGTGACACCTGGCTTCTCATGACAGTGGCACCCAGTCAAGTAGCACCTTCCAAGTGTGCCTGCTCCCCCAGCACCCCGCCGCCACCCCCGGTACCATCCGTGTGATTGAACCTTGTAGCGCTGTTGACAAACGCAGCGTCGAGTTAATTTAGAAAACACATGCACAACCTGCCCATTCTTTTCCTAACCCCAAACATCCAAGGCTCACGTAAGCCATGAACATGTTATTTCAGCTGTCAGAGTAATGAAACCATTAGCCAGGAGGTGCAGGTAATTCAAGATTATTGAAGACACAGCATCTTAGCAGGGCATTTGAGTAGGTGTGTGTGTGTGTTTTCAAGCTCATATTTTAAAACTGAACATCATTCAAATGAATTGTTTAGAATGACTTCTTGTAATATATTATGAATATACTAGAAAGTCAAAATAGAATGCCCGGTGAGAGCATAACTGTCAATGCAATAGACAAGGTTATAGAAAGTGTACCTGTCATGTCCTTCTTAGGGTCTGTATCTGTACTCATGTTATTTTCCCAGTGACTGGCTTTAATCAGATTCTCCCATCTCCTGACCTCAGTGCAACTGTCTTCATAACTGTCTTTGCTCCCACTCCTATGGAGAGAATCACTGCATCATTTCCTTTGGGATGCGACTTCTGCCTGCTACTTCCTTGGAGATTATATGGAAGGTGGGCACCTTGAAAATGAAAAAACTCCTTTCGGTAGGGCCACTTTTTGGGTTGGCCAATGACATTTGATTTTGTTCACCTTTGGAGTTACCCTGCTTGTGTATTTTTTGGATATATTCTTGCTAATCACCTGGAAGGTGAGTATTTAAAAATCTGTTGATTAAAAACTGGATTAAAGAGAACACAAAGCTGACCTTTCCAATGTTTCTCCTGGACCTGACGGCCCTGGAGTCACTGCGCAGAGGAAGATAGTTCCCAGCCCGGGCCTACATGTCATGCTTGCAGCTGAAGATTACGCATGCTCTCCTTTCCCAAGCTTCCTGTTTCTCTGAAAAGTTTTGAAACTGAAGCTGTAGGAGAAAATTAAGAAATAAACCTCAAAGGTATTTTAAAAAGAAGAAGGGCTACATCACCCCTCAAGTCCAGGAATGTTGATATTCTCATCATTTTCTCTCTCCTCGCCTGGAGCATTGTAAACACTCAAATGTTTGTGAAGGAGTGATTTAAAAGGAGAGAACATTAGGGAAAAAACCCATTGTTTTCCTTGTGCTTCCATTGACTAGACCCATTAAAAAAGATTTCCCATTTAACTTTGTTTTCTGGGTGACAAAGACTGGATTTTAAGATAATCCTTCAGCATTTTGACATATCTCATTCTGAACATTTTGATTTATCTTAAAGAGAAAAGACTTTAAAAATGAAGTTCAATATGAAGTAATATGGTGCCTGAAGTAAGAAATTGTCCTTTGAATTTCGTGGGTGTGGGGTTCTCTTTTCTTACTCGTATATACCTTCTCTGTCATTCCAGCTGAGGCCCTGTCAGGATAAGAATGGAGGGGTTTCAGGGATTAGTACTACTTTAGAAGTCTTTGCCTTTTGGAAATGTATCCAGTAGTTAGAAGCAGTTGAGGGCTCAGCTTTTGAAGTTAGATAATCCAGCTGTCTCACAAGCTCTGTGACTTGAAACAAGTTACTTATCTCTTTGCTCCCCGGTTATCTATGAAATGGGGATAATAATAGAATCTCATTCATAGGCTTATGGGGATTAAATGAGACAATTTTGTAAGGCCCGTAGGGTAGTCCAGCGGCCAGCACTTAGGAGATGTTGACTCTTGCTGGAACACTCTAGTAGCAGTGTTTGCTCTGTCTTAACCTTTAGTAAATAAAGCATTCAGAGGTGGCCAGTAGGCTTTCATCCATAACCGGCAAGATAATGCCACGGCCACACTGTCAGAAGGCGGCTGTGTAGTCCATAGCCTGGAAATGTGGCTTTTACTGGTACAAATCTCAGTTACTCAGAAGTTTTGGCTGAATCAGTACCCAAAAAATGATAAAAGTCTATGATTGGACACACTCATAATAATAGAGTATTATTTTAATATTGGCTTGATTCGTCAGCAGCATATTTTCCCTCTTTAATCCCCCAACTTTCAACAGAATAATGTATGAAAACAAAAGAAATCTGAGCACTTCCCCATCGCCTAGTTGGCTGAATGACTTTTGCCTCCCATCCCTGGTTTGAAGTGGTACCCCCAAATTTATTTCTGTGTTTCATATTGAAACCGTGCACCTCAGATTGGAACTTGAACCCACGTGGCCGGGACTCGAACCCGGCCAAAACCCATGATCTTCCAACTGAGATCACACACCTGGTTTCAGGACTTAACGAAGCTCAGGTTCTTGATGTCTCATCACAGAAAGAATTCAGTGAGAGACAAAGCTATAGGTAAGAAGTGGATTTGTTTAGAGAGAGACACACTCCACTGAGTGTGGGCCATCCCAGAAGGTGAGAAAGGCACCAGGGTATGGGGTTGTCAGTTTTTATAGGGGTGGGTAATTTCATAGGCTAAAGAGTGGGAGGAGTATTCCAGCTATTTCCAGAAGGGGCGGGGATTTCTAGGAAGTGGGCCACCGCCCACTTTTTGATCCTTCCGGTGGGTCTTCAACTGTCATGGCGCCTGTGGATGTGTCATTTAGCTTGCTAAAGTGTTACAGTGAGCCGATACTGAGGCTCAAGATCTAGTGGAAGTTGACTTGTCCGCCATCTTGGACCCATTTGGTTCTAATCCGTTTATGTCATGTCCTCGGGCTATGTCATTCTTTCAGAGGTTGTGCCCTGCCCCCTTCACTCCTGTTTCAATAAGACTAGAAAAAAAAGGAATCATGTAAAATGGTTTCTGTGTTGGAAATTCTCCTGAAAAGGAACTTTTTCATACATATAAAACTAATAGATTGTGTTGTCTTTGCAGAAGCTGGAAAGGATTGTCCTCCGATGCTGCTCCCAACTAATGCTTTGGTAGGTCCAGGGAGAAAAAGGGAAAGAGGTTCTATGAGAGGGACAAAGGGAACTAGAAGATGGTTGTTAGGCTCAGCTTTCATTTGGTTTACTGAGTTTTGCCTGACTTTCAACCATCTGGACACATGCCGTGTAGACTGCGAGCACACAGACCGAGGATGCTTAGCTACTACACACACAGCAGCGCCCTTCCCTGCTTGAACTTTTGTGTTCGTCCTTCTCATCTGTTAAGCAGAATCGTATGAATTTGTGAATATTTGGCCGTATTGAAATAAAAAACCTACGTAGTCGGCAGTCAGTGTGATTCAACCTAGTAGATTACAAATGCCCCAAGGACAGAGATCATATTTGTTTCTTCTTTTTACTTTCTAGCAAAACTCAATTCTGTTCTGTACCGCGTGTCACAGTTATATTTTGTAATAACTGTTTGCCTCTGTGGATCTCTCCCCCACTCCACTGAACACCCAAAGAAGACCCTCACATTGGATCCTACTTATGTTTATTTCCTAGGAAATAATCTGTTTAATTCCTAGGTAAAAGGGAAGACAGTCATGGGTGAATGACTAGAGTGGCAGTTTTACATTATAATGCTCATGGCAATGCCAAGGATAAATAAGGGTTGGCCGTGGGTATTTAGCTCAGATGAGCAATTAAAAAAACAAAAGAAAAAAGCCCACAAAACAAACAAAAAGAAAAAAACAGAACAAAACCCCTAGAACCTGATTTTTAGAGAAGAAAAGAAATTAACCTAGACCTTTCAATATTTGCTTCTCTTTTTAGCTCTTACGACAGTTTAATAAATGGAAAAATATTTAAGCCAATCTTGTTTAGAATACTGTATTTTACTTGGAAGTGCTACTGATTTTTTTCAGATTTCTCCTCAAGGAAGGAATGTCATTGAACCCCCTCCCCTTAGAGGGTATTCAAGGAAGTTAATTGAATTATACTCTTTAGACAACATAATATACAAATTATCAAGGTGTAAGGCTTGGTTTGTGTGTTAGTTTTAATTAACTAAATTAACTAACAACTAGTTAATTTTAGCTAATGCTCTTCCCTAGGCCCCTGACTTAGCCCTGAGTTCTGGCTTCTTAACCAGAGGATGGACTCATACTTCTAGATCCAGTCACCAACGGGACTTCCAAGGTCGTCCCTATGAGACCCTCCTTGACCTTACTCTGGACAGAATTCATTAGTCTGCAGTTTTTCTGTAGCACTGACTCATCTTGTTAGATGTTTGGCTCTCCAGCTTGGATTATGAACCTTTCTAAAGCAGGGTCTGTATAACTCACATGGTAGGGAGAGTCAATATTATTGAAGTAACTAGATGGTAAAATTAATGACCTTGCAGTCAGAAAGAAATTGAAAGAAATTATTAAAGTTTTATGTGAGAAAAAAAGATTTTATATTAAGGGTTTTTTTTGCAGACAACTACATATAGAATTTCATTACGTTGGCTCACATGCTAAAGAAAAACATTATACCAGGTGTCAGAACTCAATCATATTTATAGGAAGAATAAACCTTGGCTGTCAACCATAGCTTCTTTGGTTACAGGATTACAGTAACTGCTGAGAATGTAAGCACTTTCCAAAGTCTACAAAGGACTCATTTAAGAATCATACAGGCAGTTTTAAATTAGCCATAGGAAAATTAATAGTGGGGAGTACTGGCAAAAGGACATTCCTATAAAGTTAAGCAAGATGGAGGACAATTCCAGTTGTATGACGTTTGGCTGAAGGAGAAGTAGTTTGGACCTGAGAAAGCCAAGTGTATAAATACTAAAGCTGTTGACTAGACAGTGAAATATTATTAAGAACCTTCATCCAAGTGAAGGAATTACCGAGAATATTGTTGCTGTGTTTTAGAGACAACAAGCAATGCTGCTGATACTGTGTGAAATATGTCTAGTTTTAAAATAATGTCCTTTGCTTGAGGCTACATTGGGCTCACATGAGTCTGTGGAATTCTGCTTTGTTGATGTATGAAAACAAGCAGAAACTCTGCTCCCCCAGGAATCCGACTCTCCAAAAAGATAAGTAGCAGGAGACATTCAACTAGGATGTAGTTCAACAAGCAATAAAAAGATTAAAAGGAAGAGATATCAGATGATTAAGTAAACTGCAAATTGAAGTTAATGATGATTTTACTGGGTCTCTGTGGGGCTGCATTTTCCAATAAATACAGCCATGTATTGTACTTTTATCAAAAGAGCTCTTGTAGAATTAGCTGAAAATGTGGGAAATAGGATTGGATCCTCTTCTTGGCAGTGGAAAATACTTGGTGCACTCAAATGACAATACCTATTCTGTTTGTGTCTTTTCTCATCGCAAGGGAGCCTTTGCCCTGAGCGCTCCAGGAAACCCTGCTTCCGGCTCTGCTTGTTTTTCTTCCTCTTGCCCTTTTTCACCTTCAGTCTCTGACTTTTGGCCTCTTGCTCTGCTCTTTTGCCTTTGTGTTTTCCTGATGCCGCTCAAACCCCAGTCACCCCTGTTCCTCAGATTTGCTATCTATGCTCAGTCCATCTCCAACCTTTTTGCTTCCTGCGTTGAGAAAATACAGCACATTTATTTGGCAATCAGAAGAATAAGAAACAAATACTCCAGCCTATTCAGCTTTATATATGTGGGCTCTCAATGTGTTCTTTGGAACAGTGTGGAGAGATGAAAACACATTTGACGAGGAGACCAAGACCAGAGTTGGGCAGTTACCTGATGGCTTTTCTAAGGCTCAGGAAAGAACAGCTCTCCCTCTGGTGAGTCTGCTGCTTCTTTGTTTTCCATTTCATTGATCTTTGCTCTTTCATTTTCTCCTTTATTTCCTTTGGGGTTATTGTTTTTTTGTTTTTTTTTAAACTTCTTGTTTTAGGCTCATGCTGTAACAACCCCAGTATCTCAGTGACTTAACACACTAAGAGTTTACGTTTTCCACATGCAAAGTCCACTGTGGGTGTTCCAGGATGGACAATACTCTACGATGGCCCTGCTCCAACCAGTGACTCAGGGACACAGGCCACACTCCTATTTCTGGTTTCTCCAACTTGGGGCTTCAAGCTTACCCTGGCATTATCCATCTGGTAGATTGGGGTGTGAGAGATGAGAAAGCGAAACTGAGTAGTTAACCAACCTGGCCTAGAAATGACGATCATGGCCACCTTAACTGCAAGGGAGGTTGGGAAAGGGATATTGGTGAGGGCTAATGGTCTCTGCCATGTTCTCTAAGTTGGATACTTAGTTCATTAATATATAATTTTTCTTGTCTAATATTAACACTTAAGGCTATAAATTTCCCCCAAAACATTACTTTTGCTATATTTCACAAGGTTTGGTATGTAGTGTTTTCATTATCGTTCAATTCCAACTAATTTTTAATTTCCATTATGACTTATTCTTGGTTCATGCTTCATTTTGAGGCTTATATATTTTTATGATATTGGAATAGGGAAGAATTTCTTATACAAGACAATAAAAAGGCCAACTAAAAAGATGATTGATAAATTCAATTACATTAAAGCTAAGAACTGTTCATCAAAACACACTGTAAAGAAAATAAAAGGAAGGCTACAAATTGAGGAAGAATAACAAACCTTAAAGGTAATCATCAAGAATATATAAATAATCCTTACAGGTTGGTTAGAGAAAGATAAACCAGTACAAAAATGAGCAAAAAGCATTTCACACAAAAAAACCACAAATGGTCCATATGCACATGAAAAGCTACTCATTAGTCATCAGAGGAATCGAAATCAAAACCACAGGGAGGTATTCTTCCATACCTAATTGATCACCAGAAATGAAGTAACTGAAAAATACTAGGAGGATGTACTCAGAGGATCAGTGGGACCTCACATGCATTGGCTGGTGTGAGATTAAATTATCCCTGAATATTCATACCGTATGACCCAGCAGTTTCACTCCTGGGAATATATTCTGGAGAATAAAATGATAACTACCTGAGATGTAAATGCTAACATGTCAAAGACTGATACCCCATCAGCTGTTATCCCAGTAAAGGAGTTGGGCTCCTGCAGAGCTCCATGGAAACTGGCTATGACCCATCATTTAGGGCAATAAAATCTGATCAAATGCAAGGCTTAGAACCTACTTTCCTGGTGCTACCAGGGGAGGAAAGGGCTGGTTGTTCCCGACCATGGATGCTAAAGAAGCAAATCTTGCTGCTGGTTGGCAGTGTCACTCAGCTGCAATCACGACCCCTGATCATGCCAGGGGAGGGCCTGCTGCTTCCTTAAAGATGCAGCTTGAAATCCCCACAGGTCTAGTGACTCTGTCCCAGGGTCTGAGATTGGGCTCTGTCGACTTGCCATCTACTGCCCTCGATGAAACTGACAACAGGAGCTGCACTCCTTCTGCTGCTTTTTCTGAGGGTCCCCAGCACATAGTCTCTAAAAGGCCTGTTTATGCTCCTTGGCTCTCTGCCTTTGTTTGCACAACACAACCTAATGTCCATCAGCAAAATAATGCTTATACTATGGTTTATTCTTAAAACGGAGTAATCTGCAGCCAGTGAAAAATGAATGAATTATAGCTGTTCACATCAAAGAGATGGGTTTTATTAATGTAATGTTGAGCAGGAAAAGTAAGTGCCACAATGCAGCATATAGTATAACACTCTTTAAACATTCTAAAACAGGTAAAACTGAAGAAAATATTATTTAGACACAACACATAAGTGAAAAGAGAAAAGAAAGGGGATGAAAACACCCAGTTCAGGATGTTGATTACCGGTGGGGTGACAAGAGCATAAGAAAGGGAGGAATCCACAGGTGGATGTATGTAATGGATTCTTGTATTAGTCCAGTTCTCACCAGAGTCAAGGATAAAAGTATTGATGCTTTATCTGCAAGTTAAAACTCAGGGCAACTAGAATGAGAAAAAAAGAGACGTAAAGCAAAAGAAGATGTGAAGTGGTACATGGTGTTATGGGCTGAATTGTGTCCCCCACAAATTCATGTGTTGAAGTCCTAACCCCAGTATCTCAGAATGTAACCATATTTGGAGATAAGATCTTCAAAGAAGTAATGAGGTCTTTAGGATGGGCCTTAATTCGATATGGTGTCCTTATAAGAGGGAATTTGGACACAGACATGTGTGTGCACAGAGGAAGGACCATGTGAAGACACAGGGAGAAGACTGCCATCTACAAGCCAAGGAGAGAGACCTCAGTAAAAAGCAACCCTGCTGACACCCTGATCTCAGACTTCTAGTTTCCAGAACTGTGAGACAATAAATTTCTGCTTTTTAAGCCACCCAGTCTGTGGGACTGGGTTACAGCATCCTGAGAAGACTAAGACACACAGAGATGCATGGCCTCATCTACTGTCACTTCTGAGATGAACCAGGAAGACACAGAGTGGGTCTCTGGGCAATGGTGTTCCACTCCGTGGGGCTCCTCTGGAAGCTCTAAGGAGGGAGCTGAAGGGGAGATTTATCTTCCAGGTCAGGGCAGCCCATGAGAAGTTAAAGTCCCTGTACTTTTTCATGTCACCTAGCCTCTTTGATGGCTGCTCAAAATGCCAGCGCCCATGCTGTGCAGTGTAGCTTTTCACCTGAGTCCGCAAAAGGCAGGAGGAGCTGGATATGCAGGAGGTTGGTCCGGCTGCATGCTCGGTGGTCAAGGAGATGCCCTGCGCTGATCTGCCCTGGACCGTGGACCCGGGAAGCCAGGTGAGTTGGATTTTTGACTAATCGGGAATATTCCAGTCCTTGGTTAGGATAGTGGGTCTGTAGGTATTCATTTATTATTTTTTAAATGAAATTTAAAAAGTAAAAGAAGGACAAGCATGGACCAATGACGGTAATGATGATGTATAAAGAATCAAAGACTAAATTATGGGTAATTCAATTCTGTGTTCCTGAGTGTTTGTTTTTCTGTGCAAAAGAGAATAGAGGCTGCTTTTCAATTCTGAGAACCCCTTACTCTTCCTTACATCCAGGAAATTAGCTGGCTATTTTGAAAAGCTAATTTAAACCTATTTTGAAGACAGAAGGAATCAAATCTCCAGTAAAAATTCAACTATTAAGCCTTTGACCAGTTTTATTCATAAGCTATTATTTCAAATGTTAAAAAATAATGTACAATACATTTGATTATAGAAAACCTTTCTTATTAAATAAAGCCTAACAAAATAATTAAATACATATGTTTCTAACTTCTAAGGCTTGCCAGTTTCTTATGTTTCATTAAAAGTGGAAAAATTCTTGCATGTGCATGTTCACGTCCATTGTGAATTACTCATGTGGCGGCAACAAGCAGCAATCTATGGTATCAGGGACCCTGAACGTGACAAACATTCCAGCTTTTCTTAACATTCCTTTCCTATTGCCTTGATTAAATAATGCACACAGTGAAACAGCTTTCTTTAATTTTCTTTGCAGCAGTGCCTAAATTATTTTCTTAGTTATGTAAAGTTGTGCACCCTGTGGTTGGCTTATTCTTTTCTAATTTACTTTCATTTGGAAAAGAGTGGAATACTTGATATATTGATACGAAGGCTAAAAAAGCCAGTCGCGCACAGTACTGGTCATGGTCAATGAAGGAAACACATGGCACCCTCACAGGGGACCCTAATGAGAGTCTCATGTTTACAAAAGTGTCAGGAGATGCAGAGACTCCACAAGGGGTGGTGAAGCATCCCAGGATCAGCAAGAAGGATGGCTGGTTAGGGGAGGGAAAGGTCCAGGGAACCCAGGGAGAATGTGGCAGTTGGAGAGGGGAGGGGATGCCCTTCAGTAGCCATGATCTTTGGTAGAAGATCACTGGTAATGCAGAAGAGGTGGTGGGAAGGGAGAGGGAGGAAGGGAGGGAGGAAGAGAGAGAAAGAGAGAGAGAGAGAGAGAGAGAGAGGAGGGAATATGTGTTCTGACCTTTCTCTCCTTCTGTGAGTACCCGCCACTTGGCAGGACCCAACCAGAAGCCAGGGGCTGAAGAGCCCCGTTGATGGGGTGTCCATGGAGGGCAGTATCCTTGGCCCAAAACAAGGGTCGGGGGAGGGGGGAGGTTCGAGGGCATGAAGGGTAGCTCTGACGGGACAAACAGAAAGCATTTGGTACACTCACAGGGCAATTCTACAGGGGTAAATACATTTTTTTTTTTTTTTTTTGCGGCACGCGGGCCTCACTGCTGTGGCCTCTCCAGTTGCGGAACACAGGCTCCGGAAGCACAGGCTCAGTGGCCATGGCTCACGGGCCCAGCCGCTCCGCGGCACGTGGGATCCTCCCAGACCGGGGCATGAACCCGCGTCCCCCGCATCGGCAGGCGGACTCTCAACCACTGCGCCACCAGGGAAGCCCTACAGGGGTAAATACATTTTTAATAATTCAATCGGACTTAGTCCGATTTCAGAAGTGAAGCACTCTACAGGGGAAACTTGCCTTTGGATTGCGGGGGATGGCTGTTACCGTTTTTGATCCTGGGGATGGACAGGTGGAAGGATGGTGTCAGAAACACATGCTCTTTGTTAGGGAGGAGGGACACAGGAGGGCAGAATGCTAATAATTTCGTATGAATCTTTGCATTTATGTAATCCATACGTGCCTTAAAATTACTTTTAAATGGAAGGTTTTAGGATTGCTAATCTGTAATGTAGAAAGATGTCTTTGGCCAATACTGCATGATCACTTATATGTGGAATCTGCAAAAAACAAAAACAGAAACAAAACCCAAGCTCATAAATGCAAAGAACCAATTGGTGGTTGCTAGAGGTGGAAGGTGGGGGGTGAGCAAAAGGGGTGAAGGGGGTCAAAAGGCACAAATTTCCAATTACAAGATAAATCCTGGGATGTAATATACATCATGGCGGCTACAGTTAATAATACCATGTTGCATATTTAAAAGTTGCTAAGAAAGTAGATCTTAAAAGTCCTCGAGACAAAAAAGCGTTCTTGAGGAAAAAAAATGTATCTATGTGTGGTGATGAGTGTTAACTAGACTTACTGTGGTGATGATTTCAAAATACATACAAATACCGACTCATTACGTTGTACGCCTGAAACTAATATAAGGGTATATGTCGATTATATCTCAAAAAAGGAAGATGTTGTCTTTAAGAAATTTAGATATTTCAAGATGGAATAGACTCAGGGCTCTACTCCATAAACCTAGCTGCTTTTGCATTGCACCGTTTTCTTTTCAAAGGATTCTGATAGATAAGAAAAAGGAAGTTGATGCATATAAATAGGATTATGCGTTTGAGTGAGTCTTTAGTTTGGATGGGGTAGGATTACTTTTTCTTCCTCTAGAAAAGGAGAAAGTTCCTAGGATGTATGTAAGCTCTAAAGAGTCTAGTTGAAAAAGCCATTGCTCTTGGCACTCCTACTCTCCTTTCCTTGGAAGCTTGTCATTCTCTGTCACTTAGGCAGTGTTCCTTGCAGTCAAGGCTTTGGGGGAGCCCTGGACCCACCCGTCCTGTGTAAATCACCAGGGGCTGAGATTTGCTTCTGGACGCTATTATATCATAAAACCACGACGCTGACAGGATGAAAAGTCTAAAATCTGAAAAATGCCTGGGCAGGCTCACAATCCACGTTGAGTAGATTTGGGGAAGATTTAAACAGAAGGAGATTCCAAACATCTAAAATTTGGAGGGAAGATCATTCCTAGAGCTAGGTGGCTGCCCTCTCCAGGTGTGCTGTTCCCAGGAAAACTGAGGGGAGTGGGGGGGATGAAGAAGGAAAAGAGTAAGGCAGAGGCTTCCTCCTTGAATTCCTGTATCACCAGCTTCTGTGTCTTCCTGCAAGTTGATAATGGGGAGAGGACATGATGAAAACCCACCATGAGGTTGGAGAAGTTTCTGGCACTGAGCAGGGATGCCCTAGTTGCCGAAGGGCAGGATCTTAGCTTTCTTATTGTCTCCTGGAAGTCTAGAAAAATGCCTGGCACATTCTGGTGGTTGGTTCTCTTATAAACATCTCTTGAATTTGATTATTCAGGAGGAAGAGGGCGCTTAGAAAGATGACTTTGTGATGTTGATGCACCTTGTGGAAAGATCCACCAGTTCTTCAGAGGTTTGGCAATTAAAGTTATATATAAATATTTTATAACCACTGCTTTGTTGAACTTTGTCAGCTTTCTGGCTTGCTAACCTAGTAGTGACAAGGCTACCATGGTTTTACAATTAGACTTATGACTTCCCGCCTCCTTAGAAGATTGTAAGGAGATTCCAGAAACTCTGCAGGTGCTATCATATCAAGCATTCCCGAAAGCAAAGCAAAACAAAAAAATGGAGTCTGCCATTATTCTGCCAAAACAAAAAAAAAATGGAGTCTGCCACTATTCGTTAAGATGACATTTACTGTCCGGAGTAGAAGGGCAAGACGTTTTTCCATTAAATGGAGCTTATTATTCTGTGGAAAAATAACTAACCCCAAAGACTCTCGAGAGGCATACTTAGGAACCTTCCAGTAACAACTTTCTACCGTACCCCATTGTTTCTATCAGCCTGGCTGCTTCTCAATCTTTAGTCATGAAATGTCATTTCATTTTTGGAACCTCAGGAAAGATGTAGGTGATAAACCCCAAAGATAGGAGATTTCTTGCAAAAATGTGAAATCACCATCGTCTGCACAGGAAATGTAAAAGTTCACTTTCTGCTCTTTATTCAGCATGTTGGAGTAGCTTACAAACTATCGAGCTTCAGGCTCTGCGGATCTTTGGCTTTATATCCCTTTCAAAGGAAAACGATTTGCCAGGCTTAGTAAGCAGCCTAAGGAAGACCTCCAATGATCTCCATTTCCAAGTGTTCAACCCCCTGTGTAATTCCCTCCCACACCCAATAAAGAGGACTTGTGATACCAATTGTGATACTGTGGAAAGGACAGCATGTGACTTTTGAGGTAGGTCATGGGAGATGTGGAGGCTTCCACCTTGTTCTCTCTTGGATCACTCATCCTGAGGGAAGCCAGCTGCCATGTTGTGAGGACACTCAAGCAGCCCTTTATGGAGAGGACCACGTGCTGAGAAAGTGAGTTTCCCTGCAGCACTTAGCACTGAGTCGTCCGCCATGTGAGTGAGCCACCTTGGAGGTGGATCCTCTGATCAGTCAAGTCTTCAGAAGACGGCAGCCCCAGCCGACACCCTGACAGTAAAACCCCATATGAAATCTGGAGTCCCTCAGCTAATCATCCCCCAATTTCTGACTAACATAAACGGGGTCAGAAAATAAATGTTTATTGCTTTTCCAAACTGTTCAATTTTATAGGATTTGTTACACAGCAATAGATAACAGATACCAAGTGATGATTATTAACTAGGAATTAGAATTAGTCATTAAGAATGATCAGAATAGGAACCGAGATGAGGCACAAGTTCAGATAAAAGTGTTTTTTGGTTGCGTACTTTTTACCAGGGTTTTAAAACTCAAGGCAATGCGAGGTCTTTTAGTTTGAGGAGTCCACTTTGTAAGCAGTACATAAGTTACAGCACTCACTTGAATGAGTGAAGGATGAGATAAGAAATGGGGTAGGGAGAGAAGATGTTTGTTTTTCAAATTCCTACAATCTTATTAACGAGCAAGGCTCTGAGGGTAGATCTAGGTAATCAAGGACTAATCCCTGAAGAGTGAAATACCAGGAAACATACGTTCATCTGAAAAATGCAGAGGTTGGAACTTGGGCTGTCCAGGCTAAATTCTTGTTAGGCTGTCACTCATCGCATGCCTGCTCACAGTAGAAGTTGAGCATGCATTCCTGAAGAGTTTAGAAAAAAATCTCAAGGCCTTCAAGACAGAATGTCAGGTAACCACTACCAACTATTTGAAACTGTTGTAGATAATAAAACTCTTAAGGGGTAGTAGCATTTGAAATAGGATTTGTTGTAATCCTTCCTTATAGTATAGCAAGGAAGAGTGATACTATCGCAAGACCAGAGGCTAGAATTATGAAACCACAGACTTCTACTCATAGTAGTTTGGCCTACTAGCTACCATGAGGAACCCTCCTGCTACACTACAAATAAATCTTGCATTCAACACCGTGAAGATATTTTATAAGGCATTGCTGGATTTGTAAATGCACGGGACCTCTACCAGTGAGCTCAGAATGACAGCAAGGGACGCGAAAGTGTTCCTGAGGGCAAACTCTTACATCAGTCCTGAGAGATGCAGCCTAAGCCTTGTCCAAATAATACCAAGTCTCACCAGTAGGACTCATAGGAGGCAAAGGTGGCCCAGTAGTCATCCAACTCTCAGCAAATGCAAACACACATCCTCTCTGGCAGAGGCAAGAAGGAAAGAAAGGGGACGGGTAGGATCAAGCAAGAACGCACAGGTAGCTTCAAGGATATTGTGATAGTCTAGTTCTTAAATTGTGGCATGGACTGTGTTTGTATTTGCATCATTAGTTACATAGAATTTGCATATATATATATGTAGCATTTTTTATTTAAACCAAATATAGGAAAATCAATAAATAAAACAACACAATCTCCCTTCCTTACCTGTCCCCACAAAGCAAGAACCCAGAAGATAGATTTAGGAGTTCAGTAGAGTGAGATCAGGGATAGGAGTCCAGCCATGCAGTTCAAATTGCCAAGCTTTAAAGTGCTGTTGACCTGACTAGGTCCCTTCCAAGGAAATTGAGGACTCCAGGGTCTGGGAGGAGAAGGGACGAGGATGACAGCGCTCCCTCATCGAGGGTGAAGATCTTGAAACTTCTGGGACAGAAAACATTTGTAGTTGTTAGATTTACTTGGTAGAAAAATGGAGTTGGGGAACAGAGGAAGGTTGGATTAATAATAATGTGTAATGTCTATTAATTCCTTCCACTAGCTCTTGCTTGATAGATAGGTTATCACTTCCCCATGGTTTTCAGGGCAGGTTGGGTATTTGTTTTGTTCTGTTGCAGGACAAAGGGTAGTCAGAAGCCTTGTTTATTCTTCTGCATCTTGTTTCCATTTAAATAAACCTTCTGATTTTATGATTCAGTCTCCACAGCTCTGACTTCCCAGTGCTTTTCAGTTTTTAACTCTGCCCTTTCCCATGGAGGCTGCTAAAGTACAGTTCTGAGACCAGAATTTTTACATCACCTTTAAAAATATCTTTCTGTGAGTTGCCTTTTGGTCTCATACATTGCTAATGAGAATGCAACATGACACAACCCCCATGGGTTTATTTGGCAATATTGAGCATAATTACACCTGCATTCACCCTTTGGTCCAGCAATCGCA